GTGTCTTGCGCGCACGGAGACACATATATATATATATATATATATATATATATATATATATATATATATATATATTACTGTGAAACTGATTGTCAGAGAGAAAATGTATAGAATAGTCTTATTTTAGAAGATGAAGACAACTCAAAGATGCTGAGCCAGTTGCCATGGCAATACCCATGCTAGCATTTATGTCCATCACAATAGAGATGGGGCGTAATGGCGTATGAGAGGTGAAAATGAGACCAGAGAAAAAGAGTGAGTCACATAGACGGGTCATGCTTTTAGAAAGGTGTTCTAGATGAAAGTTCGGGGCGTCCGTGAGTAAGGGAAGTTAGAATAAGCCAGGTGTTTGTATAGCTGTCTGTTTTTTATTCTTCTCCTTCTATTTTATTATTATTGTGACTCAGACACAAAAGTTTTCTCCAGATGTCTGTTAGAGGAAACGGTCCACAGCGTGTAGCTAGCAGGAGGAAAAACACGATTACTTACCTTTTGAGTTGAAAAAGACCTTTGGAAGAAAGTTTTATGAAGTCGCACAGAAGGCCTGCAGGCTGACGCAAAGGTGGATATCACAGGTAAAAATATAAACGGCAATGCACACATATTAGGACCAAAGGACAATTTAGGAATCTTCAAACCCCTAAATATCAGACCAGTAAGGGTCAACTTGATTTAAACTTTGCAAAAGAGTTCAAACATGATTTCAAACTGTACTTACTGCGAAAACACAAAATGTGATTGTCACTTTTTTCATGATTACATATTCTATTTAAATTTGCATCAATTCTTTGTAGATGTGTTTTTATTTTTGCTATGATTGTATTTCATACATTTATGATCAACTGAGGAATGATTACATTCTTTGATTTTATTTTATTTTTTTCTATACTATTTGGGCAGAGGCTTTATTGTGTTTTTGCCTCTTCCTGCACTGTTAATATTTTTGTTCTGCATTTTAATTGTACAAAACAAATGTTTTTCTGTAGACTCACTTCTATCTCTTAAAGCAACTCCAGCTGTAGTCTCCGCTCATTACAGTTTTACACTCAGTCTGCAGCATGGCTTTTGACGACTCAGCATCTGACTTAAGAGGCAATTACATAACCTCGTCTTCCGATGTGTAATTTTTGCGCTTGCATAAAACATAGGTAAAAGTATTCCCGGCTGTCCAAACAATTAGCATCTCCTCTTTCAAATGTAAACTGGAAAAAGTATAGATGGCGCACGCCGACAACAAGGCGACTTATCCAGACGTTTTGAAATCCCAGTTCCCTGTCAGAGAAGCACAAGAAAACGGGAGTGCGTTCTGCTGTTACTGGGATTAAAAAAAAAACAAATAAAAGAAAAAAAAAAACTTCCGATCACTGTCAGAGCGCTCGGATCTGATGTGTGCAGACGTCTCTGTTTAAAGTAGTGTTTCACTCCTGTAAGCAAAGTGACAGTGATAAAGGAAGTTTCCGTTTCCAGAAATAGCAGAGCGGGCTCGTCTCCTTCCAGAGGATCGCAGGTTTCTGACAGAGATCTGGGATTTTGCGGGTCCAGATACTCGCATTTCCGAGCTGCGACAGAGGAGAAACTGTCTTTCATAGCGAGTCTTTTCTTGAGGTGCCTTTTTCATCTCCCCCTGCAGTACCTCGAAACCGACTTTATTCCCATTCTGTCTTTTAACTTCCATCGCTCTCTGCTTTGCACTCTTGTCTGCCTGGCATCTGCACCGCACCGAATTCGTCCATGAAAAGGCATCATTTAAAGGCCTGGCCTGGCAGCCTGGGATAGAAAATAAATTAGGAGTCCATTGCTTCAAACGGAGCTTCACCAAGGCAACCTCCACTCATGCCAAGGATCTGCCTCGCTTACTCCAAGGCAAGCCGTGAGAAGAGTTTTAACAAGCAAGAGCTCCGTCGAGATGTTTTTTTTCTTTTTTTTTTTTCTTTTTTGGTGTAAGAAAGAAGGAAAATGTAACTTCATCGACGTATACCCATAATTTTGACTGCGTCACTGCTAATGCCTCTAATAAAACTTGAAACAAAAAGTTTGTTGTCCATTCTGACAAAATAGTCTTGAAGAATAAAATATATTCTCTTCATTTTCTTTTGACGCGATTCCACTCTGTGTTTTGATGTTATAAGAGCTTCGCTGGCTGCCCGAGAAATCTGCCTGAGAAATGTCAGCAATTACTCCTGTCAGCCCTCTTCCTATTCCCTTGTTTACCCTGAAGACCATACCTCAGCGTTATTGATCTTGAGAGCATAAAAGGTCACCAGATTGAAGATGACGGCAGCCGCGGTAGCCATGGAGACTCTCTCCCAACTTTCCCCCCTATGATCAAACGCAATATCAATGAGTGGGTTAAACTTTGATGGCGGCTACTTTGGAGCTTAGATTTTTCCACAGTTAATCATCTTTCTCCTGGGATGAACGGACTGTCTCCTCGCCGCCCCTTATCCAACTTCGGTGCGAGCATCAACCCTGCTGCGTACGTAGACGTCAGATTGTTACGTTTTCAGCCGGACTACCTTAAAGGTCTATCAGAACAGTTTTTCTATTTGAACATCTGCATTGAAGGTGGTAAATTGATGAATGCAAGTAAATATTGGAGAACCTGCCTCCTGTACAATTGAACATAGTGGCACAATTATTGTTAATTAGCATTTTTGTTTTCTTTATCTCAAGAAAACTAAAAAGATCTGTTAGTATAGTGTTCTAGTTCACGGATGTGAACATTCACCTGTTGGGTTGCTTTATATTGCTAACATCAGCTAACATGAGGTTTTTGACATCTTCGAGCCTTACACTGCTCTGAGGATTTCTTTACTTTTCTGCAAAATCGCTGTTATGTGACATTTGTTTACCACAGGAAAGCAAGCTATTATTGTTCATATTTTTACAGAACCTCACTGGAAACATCAACATTTACAAATGTGTCCAATTGGTGCCAAATTTTATTATTAATTTTGACAATTTAAAAAATCTCTGTAAAATTTAATACTAAGGTCCTAAATTAAGACTTGTGTTAAATAGAGTCTACACAACCAACGCAACAGCAATAAAACTGGTACAATTAAATTACATGTCTTCAAAATTATTATTATTTTTAGTTTTGACAACCATAATCTTCCTTAGAGAGTTCTCAATCTAAAGCGGGTGTAGGATGTTCAAGTATCACTAACGGTGTTTCCATTAACCATAAAATTGCGCAAATTGAAAGTCCGAACGTAAATGTGCTAAATGGAAAACCGCCCGTTTCGGAAAAAAGTCACGTCTTTCAATAAAACAAAGTTTGTTGCGCTAATATGAGCTTGTTTTCCCGCAATATCGAAATGGACGTACATAGTAAAACTTCAACGCAAACACGTTCACGGGTCACGTGATCAGCAGGGGGTTGGTTACGACTGGCGAAAAACGTCGAAGAAGACAGGAAGTAATTGAAGGGTGATTGTCTTTGCTTTTTCTGACAGCGTACAGCCGGCTCCACCAGAGTTTTCGCAGTTCATAAAAAGTTGTGCTGAGTCCATCTTCTGTAATTCACCCAAAACGCCCATAATAAGTAGCCACCCCCAAATATAAGTGGCTTGGCGCTCCAACGCCTGAATAACATGCCGTCGTCTCGTCTGATGGCTAATAGATGAGCGCAAGCGCCACGGTTGAATTATGAATACATTTCATGCCGTTTATATTCGTTGCTGTCATGATTTTTGATGACTTGTTGTGAAGAGGCTTACTCATGCGTGATTTTAATTTAATTGCTTATTTAATAGAAACACCGCAATTTCATTTTTTTTCCCGATATCAGAATATAGAAAAAGATTTACGCATATTTGTGATGGAAACACGGCTAGTAACTCGTGTCTCACTTGAGGTGGGTTGCTAATTGAACATACCGGATTTCAATGAGGCAACTTCAAATGTTGGCGACTGCCTTACGCCAATTTGGTTGATTTGAAACAGGTGCGTTGAATCAGAATCCTCTCGGCTAAAACATGAAGCGACAGTGACCCCAAACAACTGAAACTGCTCCAGGTAAGAAGTGTTGTGGAAATAATGTATCCAGCGTTAAGTCGAAAAGCCAGCAGTCAAGTTTCATAAGAACTCTTCCACAAAGTGAGGAAAAAGTGGCCAAAAATCTTCAAAAAGCATCTCTCCATGCTCCAGAACGATAAAAATGCATATATTTTCAAATCTTTTTGTATGAAGAATTCTTTGGAAACAGAATAAAGTGAACCCCAATGTCAATTAGGCTGCTGACTTTGTAGACTGTGAGCATATAAGCAAAGTTTTTTTGGGAGGGGAAGTATGGTTATCTCTCAGAAAAATTTGCCAGCCTCTTAATCTGAAGTGAATCATTTTGTAGGTGGGTGCCTGAAACCAGAAGCACTCTGTTGCCTCAGAAAGTTAGCTGACTCGACAAGTTTGGACCTCTGCTGCTGGGAGGTGTACTGAACCAAACATTATGGCTGCTTTTCCTGATATACATGTAGTAAGTGCTGTACATAGTCTAGTAAAATATGCCTGCCCCGTCCATGCTGTGATTGTACAGTCACTTTTACTGCAAAATGTGCCTTTTGGAAAGTTTTCATAAGCCTTGAACTTTCTCATTCCGTTACAAAGACAGACTTGGATTTACCAGTGGGGTTGTGTGGTAGACCAGCAGAAAATCTATACTAACCAGGTTGGTTTTAGTTACTAGTCAGCTGGTTTCTGAAGGCAATTGGTTGCACCAGATTTAAATTAGAGGTAATTTATAATTGGTTACTCTGGTAACCAGTTCAAGAGCTAAAATGTTAAATAAATCAGAAAAAGGTTGCAGTGAGGTCAAATGATTGCATATTTACCAGTTTATTCAATAAAGCCCCTGAAAACCACATTGTTCTTGTTCATATCCAAACATATAACAGGAAGTACAAGAATGCATTTAGGCAAAAATACGCATCTTCAGATTTAGAACAGTCGTCTAAATGAAAAGTTGATATAAAACAGAGCAACACACCCATCGACATGTTTTTGTTCTGGCTTTTATTGTAGCTCCTTTGCTGTCTAAATACTTCTCTAAGTACTGCTAGCAGTTACCACTGGTCCAAAAGTAAAATGTCACTTTGCAGGAAAAAAGAGCATCTTGTACTTTGTTGCAAATAGTTCTTGTCTGAGTGAGAACTGGCCGGAGTTTGGAGGTGAACTAAAAGTTGTTTTTTTTTCCCCCCTCTTCTTTTTGGCTTTACTGGCCTTTATCTGACAGTTGTCGGACAAGAAAGCGGATTGTGAAGGAGGTGGAAAACATGTGGCAAAGGTCTTCAGAGCAGGACTTGAACCCGTGATGGCCGGGCAGAGGACTGAGGCCTCCGTATGGGAGCTTCTCCACCGTGCTCAGAAATCAAGAAAGGTAAGTGTGTGTGTATGTGTGTCTGTGTGTTTGTACTCGTGTATGTGCAACCACTTTAACAATATTTACCAACAAAGGGAGGTCATTGTGGAAAGTGACTTTTCTGCAGTGCTCACTTTTTTTTTGCAGTTTTACTGTGCTGCTAGGTTTAGCAGAATGGTAAGTTTTGGTTAGGGTTGGGAATAGACTAGCAGTGCTTAGGGGAAAATGGCTGGATTACGCATGAATACAACTACTAAAATGAATCGTAGTTAATGCAAAATCTGTGTGTGTATGTATGAGTCATGGCTAATCAGAAGAGGCATAAATAACACTGCTGTCTTGAAAGCTTATGATGATTGGTCTATGATTAAAGATTGATATTGAGTGAAATTAAATGTCTAAGAGGAATTGTAAATCAGTCTGTCTTCAATTCTCCAACTGGAGATCCGTCACCAGTTCCCCCTTTCTCCAAAACTAGGCGTACGTACGAGTCAGTGCTTGCGTGATGTTTTGTCCTGTTGAGTGTTATTTTCACTTTATTTTGTTTTTAAAAATTATTATTAATTTGGCCAGTTGCTCCATAAAATGAATCTTGTCCTTCTTGGACCAAGATGATGTTCTTTGAGGTCCTTGTCTTGTGGAAACACCCAATTTAGAGGTCATTTCCCCTTTCAAACATTGTGCCCTCTTAAGTATGCTAATACATTCAAATCGACCTATGTTGTCTGGCATACAATATATAGCCCAAAGAGAAATTTGCCCATAGCATGATACCTTAGCCACTGTGCTTTAAAGTGTTTGGGATGAATTTTGCTTTTTAGTCCACAAAATGTTTTTTCTCTTTATTTGAATTTCAGGCTCTTGGCCCTTGCAGGTGCATTTATGCAGATAAGTTTGCATAAATGTCCTTGTTTTGTTCTGATGCATTTACTTTATGCCACGCACATTGAAACACAAGCTGATGTGCAATAGCTGGCAAAATTGCACACTGTTCTAGTAGCTAACCTCAAGGCATACTACATACAGTTAGGTCTTCTTCAGCTTTGATATCGTATAACACGGCGCAAAGTGCTTAATGTTTGCAAAATCAAACTGACTGAAATGTGTAGACTTGCACGTTTTCTTTAGACTCTCCATTTCATCATATTACCCATTCAAAGTCTGACCGGAGATAACATGGGCACCATTAAATGACATAAATTCAGCCATTACTAAGGCAAGGTCTTTTTGGAGCAAATTGCAGTTTCTCATTGCTCCTTTTCATGCATAATGTAATGGTTTTAGTCTGGCTGATCAGAGCAGAGAAGTGGTGGTGGTGGTGGAGTTAGGGTGTGCGTGGTGGGTGGGGAGGTTCTGAGGCAAGCTGCTCGTTATGCCACACGTCTCAGTAGCTCATCAGCGAGCAGCCAGTTCATCATTAAATGTAATGTGTGATTAAATATTTATTCGGTCCACGGTCACTGCTGCGCTATGTTGGATTTACATGACCGTCATTAAAGGACATCAGCTGCAGGATTAATGGAGTAAAAGGCCAACTTGAATCCAAATACTTTCTGGTTCACTCACCGCTGCTTTTCAGTATCTGGCAGATAACTAATGGCGTTTCTTCTTGTTGGAGTATCGAGTACGCGTGGCGCGACATGCTAACCTTTGACTTCGATGCGTTTGCCGTGTTGACAAATGCCGCGGCGTTGGCCTGTTCAGTCCTGCGTGGTGCTGTCGCACCCAGAGGAGCAAGTGGAAAGGAAGAAAGCCAACTTTGTTCATTATTGTTGAGCAAAAAGCCCCATGGGGCAAGTCAGTTTTACCGTTACAGAGTGAAAGCAGAGAGTGCCGGATAATGAGGTGAAGATCTTAGTGACTGTTCTTGGAGTTTAAAAATGTCCAGAATTTCACCAATTAGCAAATAGTGATGATATCAGTTCATTAATTTACATTAAAAATAGATATCAGGAATAAATAGCTTGTTTTGAACCTACATGGTATAAATCTTTAAAACGTTTTCTAAGCTGGCAGAGTTGTCTTTTAGTTGCAAAGATTTGCAATGCTAACATGCTAACTTTAATGCCATCTTGGGTTACAGCTTCAGAACAGTTTCAGTATTGGGGTTTCGTTAAAATAGGAATTTTTTTGCTTGGAAAAATTCCTATTTTTCAAGCAAAAATCCCTTTTTTAAAATGTAAGCCTTCCAATGATGAAGCAGCTGGTAGAGGATAAGGAATGGCTCCAGTGTTTTGGGGAAAATTTCCTTCTCTTGTGGGGTTTGTGTTTTTCCCAAAGTGTAAAATCTGAGTTCCGCAGCAAGAGCTGGATTATGATTCAAGTAATCGCCCTTTTTTATTTTTTATCAAAAAAAATAAAAAATAAGTTGATGCCAAAGCAATAAATAAATGAAGGGAAAACAGCATTTTAATACTTTAAAATAAGGAATTCTAAAGAAACATCTGATTTTCTGAACTGGGTTGAGGACTGGCAGATGTTTGCAGCTTCTTCTATATATATATATGTATATATAAGCTTGGTTTATAATTCCTGAAACGGTTAATGCCGCCATTACATTTTTGGCAACCGCTACCCTTAGCCACCCTTTTTAATTTCTGGCACTCAACTGCTGTTTACTGTAAGGATTAATGCTGACTGAACACCATGTTTCCCTTCAAAACAATTAAGCCCACAGTAATCTGTGGAAGCCGGTGGCTTAACGCTGGCACTTTGTTTATGAAGTTTACTGCGCTGCACCTACTGTAAACAATTGATCGCATCACAATTATATTTCCATGTTGGTTAAAACAACGAGAACATAAACAATGAGAGAACTTTAATAAATTAAAGTCAAGTGCATTTTAATTGTCCAAAGCTTTCTGCTGTGTGTGTGTGTGTGTGTGTATTGCATGCATTTCTAAAAATACACATAGACGGCGGATAGCTGGCCAAAAGCATTGATATTCATGACTTTCTTTCTAGAGGTTGCAGGTTTTCATGTTG